ATGGAGGGCTGCTGTCCTGCTCTTCCCAGGACTGCAGCAGCTGGAAGGTGAGTTGAGAAGAGGTCGGAGGAGAGGCCGGGAGCAAGTAGGGCCGTTTGATTTCCTCCAAGCTGCAGAAAGAGGGTAGAAACCAGAGGCTGAACAAGTTGTACGTTGCTGCTGCATGTTCCTTCCCACCCCAAATTTTATTCCAGTGGGTGCTGGTCGCTTTAAAAGTGGTGCCTGCAATTTTCTGCTGGTTGGGAGATTTAAAAAGTCTCCTTCAGTTTAGGGTGGGCGCTTTGATTTTATGGACGTGTTGTTTTCTTGGGAAGTTGGGGGGTTTCATGGACAAAACTGGGGGTTATATCTTGCAGATGCTTTGAGCACCATTTCTTCGGTTGAAGCCTCTCCTCTGTTGAAGCCCTGCTCTCTCTAAAAGTAGACCCAAACGTTTGAGCATACCCACTTCTGGAACAGACATATATTCAAAGATGTGTCTATCTACATTTGTCTCTCGTGTGCATATAATCTAGCCTCAGCATTTCCTGATATATTTGAAAATAGCACTTTGTAATGCTAAGAATTTGTGATTTACTGAAGTCCAGAAGAAAATTTTAACGATTGTGTGGATATTTGAACTTGGATCTTGCTAGTTTCTATACATCAAATAAATCATAGTTAATGTTAGAGGTTAATCTAGCACTTTGGCGTGTTTGCTTTTTCATTGTAATGCATGCTTTTTTCCTCTTGCTGTTTTCACATGTTCTGCAGCCATTTTATAAACAACCATTAAACTAAACTTTTATGTCAATCTTGTAGACCAAGAGGACGCTAGGAAGAGAATTCCAGACACGTGAGAATCACAAGCAATATTAAAAGGAAATCATATTCAGCCAACTATGAAATTCTTTTCTGCTTCCTCCAGAAAACTACCAAAGTCTTCTTCTTCTCCAGACAGGTGATAGACAAAAGAGAGAATAAGATGGAGAATAAGAGTTGAAAAAAAACTTGAGCATGCAGAATTCAAGCAAACACTCCAGAAAAAGGTCAAGGGGGATTATTTTCAAATTTAGAAAAAGGGGAAGTAATCTGGAAATCAGGACGGGAGGAAATGGTCACCTGATAGTCACTTAGGACAGGCAGGCATTCATGCTTCACCCTATGAAGAAAATAAGAGTAGCTTCAAAGCACCATCCAAGAAGGTATCCAAAATATTTTTGAACTTGAGAATCCAAAAATATCATTGGTGGGAAAAAACCCCACAATGTGTGCATTGTAGGGAAAAGCACAGATTGTAGAGCAACAGCTTATTATGCATGAAAGGACCCACTCTGAAGAGAAGCCACCCACTGCCCATAATGTGGCAAATAGCTTTAGGAAATGTGATACACATGGGGGAGAAACCATATGGGTGCCTAGATTGTGGGAAAACTTTCAGTCGGAATTCTCACCTGGTGTTACACCAGAGGACTCACACAGGAGAGAAACCATATGAGTGTCCAGATTGTGGAAAAAGATTTAGTCGGAATTCCAACCTGACGATACACCAGAGGACTCACACAGGAGAGAAACCATATGAGTGTCCAGACTGTGGGAAAAGTTTCAGTCAAAATTCCAATCTGGTGATACACCTGAGGATGCACACAGGACAGAAACCATATGAGTGTCCAGACTGTGGGAAAAGTTTCAGTCAGAATTCTGACCTGGTCATACATCAGAGGACACACACAGGAGAAAGACCATATGAGTGTCCAGATTGCGGAAAAAGTTTCATTCAGAATTCTGACCTAGTCATACATAAGAGGACTCACACTGGGGAGAAACCATATGAGTGTCCTGATTGTGGGAAAGGTTTTAGTCGGAATTATGCTCTGGTACTACACCAGAGGACTCATACTGGGGAGAAACCATATGAGTGTCCAGGTTGTGGGAAATGTTTCAGTCGGAATTCCGACCTTGTGGCACACCAAAGGACTCATACTGGGGAGAAACCTTATGATTGTCTAGATTGTGGGAAAAGTTTCAGTCGGAATTCCCACCTTGTGCTACACCAGAGGAGTCACACAGGAGAGAAACCATATGAGTGTCTGGATTGTGGAAAAAGTTTCAGTCGGAATTCTGGCCTGGTGATACACCGGAGAACTCACACTGGAGAGAAACCTTATGAGTGTCTGGATTGTGGGAAAAAATTCAACCGTAGTTCCCAC